ATCGTAAGGATGAAACAGTAATTACCATCACCAACTCAACGACCAAAGAAAAGCGCGCTTTAACGGACGCTCGACAGTGACTCTTCACTAAATTTCCAAAGAACCAGCTTAGACTTTGATGACCCACCAACATTAACAACGCTCATTTGCCAAAACATTTAACCCAGACAACCCCCCCCCCCATCATAAATAGAGATGAGAACATTTATAGTTCTGTATCTCTCCGACACGGTGAAACTTGTGTAAACTTCCTACAAGGAAAAAATTTTATGACACCTTGACAATATAAACATCATAAGCTGTTTATATGCCAGAGTATGTCAGATAACAAACGACTGACTTCCTCTAGACCGGACTTCATGGTGCATTGCGTCGCTTACTTAATCATAATTGCCTAGGGGACATATAAGCAGGTAACGGCTCAATGATATTTGAGCACCTGCAGTGTCACGTGCATCAAAAATCATTCTGTTCGCCAGAATCGACTAGCGCTCATCACGAACGTTTCGACTAGCCTCTCATGGGCACGAAAGAGCTGATCGATAAACCCCCGCGCGGTGCTATAGATATAATAGAAAAGTTTGTTGCTTTTACATGATGAAAAAACCCACAAAAAATCTTGATAAAACTTTAACATCATGATTACCGTGTTTATATTAAAAACACTTCTTATACTAGGTTCCTCTTAACATGTAAAATTGCTTGAGCATAATGGATCAAATGACTGACGATATTTCTGTAATTAAAAAACTTTCACAAGCCAGTGCTTCGACATTGATGTCGAGCTCTTAAACAGGTTTGTGCTACAATTCTGTTACATATGGATACAAAATACCAAATGGCTACTAACACAAATAAAAGTGCATCAAAAATAAACGATACCAAAACTGGCAAAATGCAAGAAAACTTACTGCAGGCCAAAAACAATACGCATGATTAAAGCAAATCAAAATTTTTCAATGTTTTACAGCAGAAGCAATTAAATGGTGATAATTAATAGTTAAATACATACATAACTATGATTAATAACCGAGAACACCGACAGAAGGCGGTCACACCTGAGAGAACAAACATACAATATTCAAGGTAGGTAGTACTCAAAGTCAAAATAATTAACGTACCGGCCAAAGCTTCCACTCCTTCTGTAGCTGCAACTTAAAACAGTTATCGACCATTTCGTTAAAAGGCGTTATCTTCGCACTCCCATGCGACGCGTTTAGATGACTCTGATACGAACTATATAAAAAGTCAATTAAAAACATGACATTTATCAAACAATAAACAAACGAACAGAGAAATGGGACTTACGCGATCTTTTCGCTGATCTTATCGATCTCGGCCTTCATAAGGCTGATGATCGACTCGTTTGAAGTGCAATCTGCTTTAAGCGTACGAATCTGATCCACGGCTATAGTTTCAAAATGAAAGCAAGCGAGTTAGTTGAAAGAAAATTGTTCAGAACTATGAGAAATTACCTCTTGCTAGCACCAGGGCATTGGTCGGCTTGGCGTTCTTCGAAAGCGAATCGCACACCAAGTCTTCGAGCAGTTCAAAGCCCATCTAAGCAAAACGTGAAGTAAGCGAAAAATTATTAAATGCTAAACGATTCGCATAAGAAACGAAGGAAACTTTTGCACCGTTTGAACAGTCACTGTTCATTCGAAACAAAAAATTCACAACAACGCTGTTAATGAACTGACATATATACATGCTTACTGCCTAGTTTTGCAACAAATACCGGAAAGCAGAATGTCTCTATTTAATTTTACGTGTCAACATGGATCAGAATATAAAAAACGCATTTTTATATTAGAAACTATAAATTTAGGGAGGTCTTAGTGCACTGACTGGAAGCACTGCTTTGCATTTGAGATGTGTCGGATTCGCGGCGAACAAGTTTATTAAAACTGCTAATTCTTAGCAAGGAATTCCACAACCCGCTCTGCGTAGGGTATCAAATCGTTGCCTTGAGAAAAATAGGGACATCATGCTGCTATAGCGTGGTCATATAAGAATGCACGAGACGCAAGGCCGTTTCCGGCCAATGCGACCGCCCCGTAGGCCTGCAAGTTTCTATGACTATATAATATAATAATAACCATGGTCTAAACTCATCTTTTATTACGACGACGACCAATCTCGAAGATTACGGCGGTAAGGGGAAAGTTGATTTAGTTGCTGATAATGGCTATGATGCTGGTCATGATCATGGTCACAACGACGATAATGATTATGACGGTGATGAATACGATGGCATCTACAATGACAGCGACAATGAATAAAGCAATCGTTCACACTGGCGCTCTTTCAACTTATCGATGCACGATAATGCTGCAGAACGGATATCAGTTCGCTACGGTGCACACAGAGCCTCATAAATCGCACCGCGACATCTGCAATGGAATTAACTCGGTTGTGCAAGGAAAGAGCTTTCAAGTGCTCCGATGTAACGAATGACGGATGCAAGCATTCATTTGTTTGAGGCGATTTCAATCTTCTTATTTAACCCGCCCAAGTCTCAAAATCAAAAAATGCCTCGGTCGGTGAAGGACGGCAAACCGTACATTGAGTTTGAGAAAAATCAAAATTCAGCTGCTTCAGAGGCAACAGTGCAAAGTCACACAGAGCGCCAAAAACGTGACAGAGAAAGACAGAAGAGACTATTTTAAAGACGATGGATCGTCATGTAGGTAACATGGACTATCATAACCATCCTCCGTGGACCTTTTCGATACATAGGTAGGATACTAATGCTACAGATGAACCGAAATGCTCTCATCATCTTCGAAAATAGTACTACATATACATGATGGAAAAGGATGTTTAGCGTCGCAGTCAAGGAACAGGTTCAAATCACAATCACAATGCTCTGTCTAAAGTGATATTCAGTAGAGGGGACAAACGGCTTTCGTTCAATGCAAGTACAAACTCACCTTCAGGGCACTTCTCCTTGACTGCTCCGCTTGCAAATGAAGAACTCGCTTCCTTTCACCGGAATCGATAGTACTGTCGGCTGGGCGCTTTGTAGTCGAAATCTATAAAATATAAGATTGTATAACAAATACATGTGATTCAATACGCTGGAAATTGGTCTATTAGAACGTTAGCATAAAACTGAACGCAATTTTCAAAAGTAGATAAAAATTTAACAATACTATAAAGTATTACGCTTCTCGACATTCATGGGCATATATCTGATTTGGCGCATGCCCAAAGTTTCCAATGGAACTATGAAACATTGAATTTTGATCTCGCCATCATCCAGAGCTGTTTTCCAATATAGCAGCTACAACCAAACCTACGTGAAAACGTTGAGAAGCCATTACTACACGATACCGGAAACGCAAAATAACATTCTCTACTACCGAATGAAACAAGAACAAGCGAAAATTGAATGATAAGCCTGGACAGACTTTTCGTCTCAAGGAACACATGTACAACGTAGCGACAAGAAACAAATCATAGGCTAACATCATTAAAAAACCTGCAACATGAATCGGTCTCACCTTCGCTACTCTTTGCAGCATAAGCTAATGCATACAAAATCAGTTTCAAATAAATGCATAAAATATGCCGATGTACGCAGTTAGTTCAGTAGATTTGATCGCACATGCGTAGTACTTCTATTCAGGACTGGTCAGGTAAAAAGACTTACTCTTTGATGGTAGTAAAGAAAACGAATGTTTATTTACATATTTATTGTAGTCCGATAGTACAACGACCAACCGCTTCCTCGCCTCCACTATCTCGCTGCGAACCAAAAGAAAAGCTTCTTAATATAAACTCAAAGATGAAAGTCTACATCTAAGTGCACTCGCAGAAAGGGTGAAAGTGCGACAGTGAAGCCATTTCTGAAACGTCTAACCACATTACAAACAAGTTGCATACTTCACGTAACAACATGCTTCGCTAGTATGTCTTTTGTGTCTTCGCAAATATGACCTATGCAAATTTTGATCAATTCTTTCGAGTAGGTCAGTTGTTTTACCTGAATGTCTTAAACGCAGAACAGATTTTAAGATCTACTGCAACTCGTGGAAAATCTGTGTTAATCGATACTCTCCTTCCGCTGCACCCAGCTGCTTTATGAAAATGCACTATGGGATTTAATTACACAATGCCCCAGTATGTCTACACCTACCTAGGAATGAAACATATAAACAATCTGTAGCTCGCAGATGGCCAGAACTATGAAGGTGAGAAACGGGAAAAGCGAAATCTTGTCACTCGATTTTCTTGTATTAACCCATTCATTTAGACAGTCATGGTAATCAACTTTCTACACAACAGTCTGTTTCCCATTCATCATCCTCCCCCTATTCTCTATTGTCTCATCATTGTGCATTTTGTTTCTTCTTGTACATACTGTCATATACATGGGTCAGAGATTGCTGAAATGCTCTTGACGTGAAGGCAGAATACTGCGCCTCACTCTGGTCAAAGAGTGCTCACAAAGAAAAAGTGAACGTTAAGCTGAACACAGTTATAGAGATGACTACAAAAGGGGTTAAGCTTAACAGAACATGATCGTTTCTTGTCATATCGAACATCCGCTGTGTGCATTCAACCGCTGATACCCGCAAATACCACTCAACAGCGCCACCTAAAACAGAGGCCCAATCTTCTGTGACTGAAATCGTAGAAAATTATTTTTGAGTATTTCTCAGAATCACGACAAACCGGCAAACGACGACAAAGAGCTTACATGAAGGAACAGCTCTAATCGACGATCCAACCATCCTCTGCTTTGATTTCGGCATGGAAAACATGGTCCGCCATTAATGACATAAGAAGAAGATAGGGCGGATATGCGCAGTACAGATTTGTACAAATGAATCTTCGGTGACTGGATCAAATATGAGAGTGGTGCATGGGTCCAGCAGTAAATCATCTCAATGTCACTGGACGTCCGCCCTACCTAAAGCTGTACAACGTGTCGGAAGCTGTTCTCAGTGGTTTGCTAGTCTCAATATGGAACCGTGATCTAAAACTGACGCGAAAAAAAACAAATTTACTTGCCAGAATTCAATGTGATAACTTGTCTTCAGAGAAATGAACCAGTTCAAAATGAGGAAACAGCTTTTACTACACGGTTAATAATTCACAAGATGATACTCAGATACTATTTCATTGAGACATGACCTTTAAGATGATCAATTAATTTTTTTATTTAATGACATTGCTGCACTATCCTGACTTACATGACTTTTTTCTGGGCAAGCAATGAATGTTTCATTTATGCCAAGAGACGAATACTGATATTAAGTTCAAAATATAACACTAAGAATATCTTATCCACCTAGAGTCAAAACTGATACTGATACAGGAGCGATGATGATTATAATCACCCTCTTTGAAGCGGAAATGTCCGACGACTCGAGAGTTGCTTTTTCCTGGCTGTAAATTGGCGGGCAGAGTTCGGTTTTGACATTCGGCTGTGAAGAGCCGATTTCGCTCGAGTCTGCGTTAGCGTTTGCGCATTCGTTCCATGGCTGAAAACCGAGCTTTCGAAAATTCTTAATACTTTCACTTTTACCAGTTCGTGTTTGTAGGCCGTGTAGCTCTGACTAGAGTTCGCAGACATCGGAGAAGGGTAACTCACTACAAAGAAAAGTAACGAGAGTTGTTTGCGTCAAGCTTCACTCACCCAAGGGAAACTGAAGACCTCCAAACGACGGCCTGATCAACAGAGATGGCTGTGAGCTATTCGGTGAGTTCTGCAGAAACGGTGGCTAGAACACAGGTAAGAGGATGAGGATGAAGCTGGCATTATACTCTGGTTTTTGATTTACCTCTCGACTTACCAGTTGTTGAGACAAGTGTAGGAAAGACGAAGCCGGCGATGACGGGTAACTGCACTGGGTCAGCTCCGACGTGGCGCTGCTCGGCGACGCCTGCAGGGGGCTCTGCACGACGATGTGCGCATTTGATATGAACAGCGGAGAACTGACAGCATCGAACTGCCGCGTGTCGTTCCTGCATAAGCTGATCGGCACGGGACGCACGATGGCACTCTGTTGGTACAATGGACTGACGGGAGAACTGGTCGAAAGACCAAGGTCATTCGTCTCTTCCAGTTCCGTATTACGGGTGTCCGTACACCACAGACGTTCGCTGTAACAGTACATTTCCATCAACAGTATTACACGAATCACTTAAAACTTTACTTTACAAATTTTTAACGTTACATGTGCATAACCAATAATTTGAGAGACTATGTTTCACGGCTCTTAAAAGTTCTGTTGCGATGTCCTAATCGAGACCGATACCAAAATAGACAAACGCCTGCCAAGTAAAACTACGATGAAGCGTAAAGTACTAAGATCCTACCGCAACAGCGAAGATCTGTTGTAAACGCTGAAACGAGATAGCGCAACTAGGGATAGACATGGACTGGTCTCACCCTGCAAAACCAATTCATATACAGCTTATACGCACCAGTGTAGCACTGGAGCACCTGAACGAAAGAAGTGCGGATTAAGGATTGTGACCGGCTCTATCTGTACGACTATCCGGTCAACAAAGTTGATCTTTCGTCTTCTGAACAGCTTCGAAAAAAGCAGTTTCTGATGTGTAAATTTTGTGCCAAGAAAAATCATCGTTACTGAAGCAAATATACTGATTGACTGACCGGTTATTAACATCTTTATGTATATGACGGTTTTTGTTGAGCAAAAATTATTAGATGTCTGCTTATGATACTGTAAGGACTAGCACAACCATTACCTGACGGCGGAGCAATATGTAGGATCCTCGGATGAGCGGCTTTTATTACACAGGCGGGAGAGAGGCCCGCTGCTGCTGTTGCAGCCCTGAGAAATGTCGGCTTTAGTATCCGTCGTCTCGGGAAGCGATCGTTTCCTAAGGGCTTTGTCCACTGACGACTTCGAACCCATGGTGAGGCTCTTTTTAGGCTTGGACGAGTCGAAGTTCACCGACTTGGACGAGTTTTTTGCCAGACAGCTGCCGGAGTGGGAAATACATTCGATGGGCTGTGCATCCGCGCTCCTGTCGATGCAGGGACTGGCCTCACACGGCTGGGCCATCACCATGCCGCTGTCCGCGTTCCAGTTCTTGGCGATCGAGTACTGCAGATGCCGGCTGTCCACTGAGCTGACTGTCGCCACTTGAGGGATGTATGGCTCGTAGAACGAATTCAGGTTGCTGGTGATCGGTTGGAAACTGTTACCTGAATACATTCGATCCGACGAGTAGTTGCTACCAGCCGACGTCGCAGGCGATGCTTCCGTGTGGTCGTACTGTGAGGCAGCCTGACTGCTGTACTCGATCAACAACGACGCAGCAACGTAGTCCTTGCTTGTGTACTGCGAAGACGAGCAAGGCTTGTCGAACGAGGTACCGGTTTTGACCGTGTTTTCTTCGGCATCAGGGATAGTTGGCGAACTAATACTTTGTTCGGTGGAAAGCGGTGAGCCGCCTTCTAAAGAATCACAAGCACACTCAGCTGGCAGAGAGGCACAGCACCAAACGGTCTCGTAGCCAGACACATAAGAAGCTATGTTTCATACGAATCATACCTAGCGAGGCCATGATTTCCTCAAGACTTGGCTGTAACTGTACAAGACCCGGTTGGATAATATCTGCATTGCCGGCTTGTGCTAAAAATACGTTAGTAATCGAACAAGTTCACTCAACAAAGGACAGATATTGCTGCATGAGATCAATCTGAAAAAAGAACCTTCTTTACTTGGTTTTGCATACAAGACTACCTTTGTAATACGGTTGCACTACCCCAGTTCAGTTTTAATAGTGAAAAGCACATCAGTCTTCTGACATGACCACATAATAACTACATAATGACCGGAAGTAGAATATTCAGTGAAAGAAAATCTGACCATTTATCACCATTACGGAAGGGCAAAACGTCAAACACAGAATACCTAGAATTTGAAGCTGACATCAACAAGGGAGCAGCGGCGGAATGAATTGCATTATCCTGCCTTACACTTTACAGCTGGCCGGTTCTTATCCAAGCAAGAAATAACATTTTCTTATTTACTGCCAATTCCACTGAGTAAGGAATTAACCCCAATGTGCGATGGTGCAAAAAACTCAGAAAACGGATAGCACATCGATGAACAGGAGAGACGTGGTGCATTGGTATAGTGATATCGGAGAATGTGGGATGTACCACCAAGCTGCCTGAGTGTGCATGCTATCGCGACAATTCACCTTGACTCGCCTAATATACAGACATGACATCAGAAAATGTGTAAAAGAATAATATTCCTGGTGGAGATACAAGCATTAATCCCTGTTTATTGGAACACAAAGGTCAGAACTGTGACGACAAGCAGGTGTGCCACAATGAGATGGTTTAAAGTTTCGTATTGTCTCCTGTTCAGAGTAATTTCAAACCTCTAGATCACACTACTACAGGATAGGGTTGAGATGCTTTAAGACAAACCTCGCCAATGTCGCAAAGTCTGCGAATGAGTAGAGGACAATTACTGAACTTGACGGTTTCTTCTGACATTATGATTTCACACCATCGAGAATATTCTGTATTCGGTGATCGAAAAGAAATGCAACGTTGCACTAGCTAGACTGCTTCCAGTTTGCTATGCCAGTTTGAAATGCGGATCTCTGTTTACCAGTAATATTTACTCATCCTTACCTCAGGTAGACAAGTTCGTGCGGTGGATCACCCCAGATTATCACGTTTGATCCTGTGGCAGATATATGTCCATCTTGGCGACTAAATTGCCTTTGCCATTAGCTCATCTCGCCTGACTAGCAAAATGTAGTTCACAACTACAGTACAACCATTATTGTATTACAGTGAATGAAAGAAACTAATGAATAAGCGAATGAAAAAAAACTCCGCCATGGCCGGTCCCAAGCCCGGATGAGAAAGGAGGAGGGTTGGAGACCGTGGCA